GGGCGGCCGGTTCGGCGCCTCAAGCTTAGCACTGGTCGTAAAACCCGGGGCAGCCCGGGATGAGACGCTGGAGCGGCCCCTGGGGCTGCCGTTGGCCCCCGAACGGGAACCGCCACGATAAACGGCTGTAACGGACAGCTCCGCGAAGCAACGGTCGGGCAACGGTCCGGCAACGGTCCGGCTCGCGGTGTTTTCGTGATTCTTGCCTGGCATAGTTTTTGATGAAGGTAAAACTAGCGCGGCGTGTGTGTGTTTGGAGTGTTTCTTCATTTCCTTTATTTATTTTTGCTTACCGTAGCGTTGCAGGGTGGAAGTGTAGTTTGTAATTTAAAGATTCAGACGTGCCTCATCTGCGTATCTACGCTGTAGTAGTTCTCTGTCGTTCCTTATTTCTACCTAGGTATTTTTGTGTGTGTGTCGTTGCTTTACAATCGCTGCTGAAAACGTTTGTTTTGCAATGAGATAAATGCATTATCGCTATTCCTTGGTTAAACGCGGTTTTGTGAATGGGATCTTGTATAAAATCTTCCTGAGCTGTGGCTTTGTATGCCAAGTGGAGACCAAATATAAATATTTAGATCCAAGTCTTAACTGATGTGTTTTGCGATGAGACTGATGAAAAAAAGCTAAACAATGCTCACGCAAAACTCCAAATGGGAGGGAAGTAACTGTTTTATCTGTTTTACTTTTCTGTATTACACTGGGAAAAGTCTGTTATGACATCTGCACAGGGAAATGACACTCAAGACACACGACAATGTAAATTTATGTTCAGCAGTGGTATAGGAATAGAATCTGTATGTATGTTGAACAATGGGAGAGGGAAAAAAATGACAGTTTATAGGTTTTGGACTTCCTTGTCAAAGAGATGTTATGTTCAGATTAGGACCTTTATTGACATATTTTGAAAAAGTAGTGCACTCTTACTAGTACTGTTGATATTTGCTGTTGTGTAGTGCTTGATATCTGGTAATGTATCACTTGGTTGTCAAAAAAAGAAAAAACTTAAGGCTTACGTTGGTCAATATAACACTAAAGCTTTTTTGTGATAGTATTCTTCAGTTTGCCTTTCACTAAAGTTTTGATTCTGGTTTTTGTGCCACAAATATGTTTTAAATACATTGTTGAAACACTTTCCCTTTTAATTGGAAAAAGGAGATGCCACTGGTATCTGCAGTTTGAAGACAGGATCTTACCTGAAAATCACTGAGCCCAAGAACTGTCATCTTAGTCTTCCAAAAGGACAAGGGTGTCTTCATTTCTCAGTGAAATGAAAGAGAATTTTCCACTTTTGTGTATTCTCAGAACTGGAAAATGTGTGTTGAGTGGATTTTAAATTGAAAATTTAGAGGGGAAAGGATCTAATTAAAGGCTTTGCACATTTCTTTTGTGGGACTAAAGTTTTAGTCTTAGTTTACTGTGGCCTGTTTAATCTACCTTAAGTTTTATCAGTAACAATCAAGTTGTGCCATAAATCTGAAACTGCTTTATGCTTTGTTCTCTCATTTATTTCAGTATAACAGAGCAGCTTGTGCTTTAAACCTTCAATTAAGTTTACATTTTTTCTAAACTTAGAAAGACCCTAAGTGCTATAGTAGGATAGTAGCAAAAATTTAAATATAGAAATTGATAATTGGTCATGTAGTTATCCAGCAGCTTACTATGCACACACAATTACACATATTTAAAGAGGTATCATCTTGAAACCTAATCAGGATGTTAAAAAGGACTTAATGTCAGTTATTGCCTTTGTCCTTGAGGGTTGAGGGTTTTGGTTTGCTTTCTCTTACGTTTGGCATTTCCTTTTTGTAGCTTACGTTCCTCTGTGGTTTTGCTAGTGGAAAACGTACACCTTTATATAAGTAGAACTGAAAAAGATGCTTTTTGGTTGATAATAAGAGTTGTAAATGCAATAGGTGCGGAATATCACAAGTACTGCTGCCAAAATTGTATCCAAACAAATATTTCTTGGAAGGGCAGAAGAAACCCAGGTGGAAATAAATTTACAAATATTTTCTTGCTTTTCTTTCCCAAGATTTCTGAGAGTTATCTCCCATCATCTGTGTCTCAGAGGTGTGTGATTCCCATGAGTGAAAAGATGGGTCAAACAGCTCCTCCTGGATCTTAACAGGCCAGCACTTGAATGTGCCACTGCTCACAGCTCCTTTAAAAAAAAAAAAAAAAAAAAAAAAAAAAAA